GCACAGCGGAGTCCCAGCTCTGCGTGCGGGAGGACGAGCGCCGCAGTTCTGCTGCGGCTGTAGCTGCTACTGAGAGAGAGGCCTCTGCTGCTCTAGGGACACAGCTGTCATCAGCACTCGCCGCGGTGGAGCGACTCGCGGGCGAGCGTGAGGCAGCGAACGACAGGGCTGCGGACCTGGAGGACCGCGTTGCTGCGCTGGAGAAGGAGCTGGAGGATGCGGCTGCTGCCCGTGATGCTTCTGATGCGGACAAGGCCGCACTGAGCGAGCGTCTCACGAGTGCCCTGGCGGCTGTCGACGAGCTGGCTGCCGAGCGCAATGCACAGACCGCCAAGGTTGCCGAGCTGACGGACGCGGTGGCGCGGCTGGAGAGCAGCGGCGATGCCCCTGCGCGTGCGGTGGAAGCGCTTGCTGCTGAGCTGCGCGAGACACAGGACCGGCTGCGTGAGGCCGAGGATGAGCTCCGTGCTGCTGCCGAGCTTCGTAAGGCGGCTGCTTTGGGCCGATTCGCTGATGAGCGTGAGATTTTAAATGACAGGGCTGCGGGTCTGGTGGACCGCGTCGCGGCGCTGGAAGAAGAATTGGATGAGACGTCTATTCGTGCATCGGTTGATAGTAGTACGGTTGTGCGTCTTCGTGAAGAACTGAATGTTAAGAGTCGGTTACTGGCGGATGTGTTGGCAGCTCTTGATCGCTTGACCGTAGAACATACAGGTCCTGAGGTGTCGTATGATGAGCGTACAGAGAATTTATTGAAGACGTTTGAGGCGCTTCAACAGCAGTTTGAAGTGACGAAGAAGACTTTTGATGAGCAGTGGGAGCGTAAGTCTGAAGCTTGTACAGCGGAGTTGATTGCGGCGAGGAGGAGTGCACAGCGAGCTATTGAAGCCCGGAAGCGAGCGGAGGAGCGCGCAGCACAGTGTGCGCGGGACTTGGAACGGGANCATTCTGAGTTGTTGCGAGTGCAGCGTGAATGCCGCGCACTTGAGCGTGGGGTTCGTATTCAGAGCCGCGTGTTGACCTCTCATGACGAAGTTTTCGAGGATACTGACGTTATTCAGTCACGCAGGCGTGTCTCGAATGCTGAGGGTTTGGACCTTGCTCAGTTCTTACAGATATCAAGTCTACAGGCGGAGTTGATGCTCGCCCGCCGCCATATCCGGCAGCTGGAGGCGCGGCAGGAGGAGTTGCAGTTGGTGCTGGAGAAGACGGAGTGGGAGTTGGCGTCACTGCCCGCCAGTGCGGAGGAGAGCATCGTGGAGTTACGCTGGGTTCGGGCGCAGCACAAAGACCTCCAGGTTGAGCACCGGCGCCTGCAGGAGAAGTTTGACGCACTGAAGAACCAGCGTGCGGAAGAGCTGGAGGAGATGCGCCAGCAGAATGAACGGCTGATGCAACAGCTTCGGGAGAGGCGCGACAAACTTGCGAGTGTGTCGCGGCAGATGCGGGAGTCTGAACTGGCGGCGAAGGAGCAAGCGGAGGAGCTCTCGCAGGCATTCAATCTGCTGGATACACAGATGCGTGCGCTACGCGCAGAGGTTGGGGCGCCGCAAGGGTCACGCGCCTCCCCACGCCGGCACAGCACAAAGGAGCCGGAGGACGCGCAGGGGAAGTTGCTGCAGGGGCGCATCACCTTCCTCGAGCATACCCTGAAGCAGAAGGAGGCAGAGATCCATCACCTGCAGCAGGAACTCGAGCGCAAGGAGGAGCAGCTGGACAACTTAGAGGAGCAGGTAGGCAGTGCTACACGCAATGTGGAGAGTACGACTCGCAGGAGCGCCCTCCTCGAGAAGACATTAGAACAGTTGAGGCGCACAAACGATGACCTGCAGGACGAACTGCGCGTCGTCAAGGGGCGTGTATTAGCGCAGGCAGAACGGCTTTCGTCACAGCCGCAGCCGTCACGCGACACCTCACGGCTGCCGTCACGTCGATTGCAATCCACTAGTGCAACAGCGACCATAACTCGTACGAAAGAGGTAAGTCATGCGGCCTCTACACGTTCCCACAGCAGAGAGCGTCAATCGATACAAGAAGACGAGCACCAGACACCACAGCGAAGAACACCACGTGCGACATCTGATAGAAAACGATCCCGCTCTGGCACACACAACTAATCCGTGCATCCCGAACCAAACAAAAAGAGCTATTTCTGCCGCTGGCTATAATACCCAAGTCCCCTCTACCGCTACTCCATCGTGAGGGCATTATGTGAGGGATCTGCGGCGGTCCACAGGCACACCCCGCCCAGAAACAAAAGACAACGAAGGTGATGGGAATGCATCCAGCTCAAACGCTAAGCCGCCTCGACTCAAACGCTTATCACAGCAACAGTACTAGACACACCATATAGAAGGTGACCCCGAAAAAAGAATTGCATAACAACAAAATGAAACATTTACACTTTCCCCTTCTTAAAAAAATGGACTGTCATACAATCCACAATGTTCAAGGCAGGACGCTCTCCTGCAAGATAATAGACTTTTAGACAAAACTGTATGCCCTTAAAAAAACACAATCCAGCCAGCGCTCAAACATTTCTAAAACATGCCTACTCCTTTGCCGGTGGAGATCCAAGCTATTTCGACATACAAGCCAACCAAGTAAAAAGCCTAACTAACCTGATATTAAGGAACGATGACGCCCATCATTCACAAGAACCTGACGTGCCCCGAGCTGGTGCAGTGGGCACTGAAGCTTGAGAAGGACACGCGTCTGACGGCGCGCGGCGCGCTCTCGGTGATGTCGTACGCGAAGACCGGCCGTTCACCACTCGACAAGCGCATTGTGGACACCGAGGACGTGCACGGCAACGTTGACTGGGGCAAGGTGAACATGAAGCTCTCTGAGGAGTCGTTCGCGAAGGTGAAGAAGCTGGCGACGGACTTCCTGGACACACGCCAGCACCTGTTCGTGATTGACTGCTTCGCCGGGCACGACGAGCGCTACCGGCTGAAGGTGCGCGTGATCACGACGCGCCCGTACCACGCGCTGTTCATGCGCGACATGCTGATCGTGCCCACGCCGGCGGAGCTGGCGACGTTCGGCGAGCCGGACTACGTCATCTACAACGCCGGCGAGTCGAAGGCGGACCCGTCGATCCCCGGCGTGACGTCGACGACGTGCGTTGCGCTGAACTTCAAGACGCACGAGCAGGTGATCCTCGGCACGGAGTACGCCGGCGAGATGAAGAAGGGCATCCTGACGGTGATGTTCGAGCTGATGCCGCGCATGGGCCACCTGTGCATGCACGCGAGCGCGAACGTCGGCAAGCAGGGCGACGTGACGGTCTTCTTCGGGCTGAGCGGCACCGGCAAGACGACGCTGTCTGCGGACCCGCGGCGCAACCTGGTGGGCGACGACGAGCACGTGTGGACGGACCGCGGTATCTTCAACATCGAGGGCGGCTGCTACGCCAAGGCGATCGGGCTGAACCCCAAGACGGAGAAGGACATCTACGACGCGGTGCGCTTCGGCGCGGTGGCGGAGAACTGCGTGCTGGACAAGCAGACGGGCGAGATCGACTTCTACGATGAGTCCATCTGCAAGAACACACGCGTGGCGTACCCGCTGAACCACATTGAGGGCGCGCTGGCCAAGGCGGTTGCGGGCCACCCGAAGAACATCATCTTCCTGACGAACGACGCGTTCGGCGTGATGCCGCCGGTGGCGCGCCTCACGAGCGCGCAGGCGATGTTCTGGTTCGTGATGGGCTACACCGCAAACGTGCCTGGCGTGGAGGCCGGTGGCTCACGCGTTGCGCGTCCCATCTTCTCGTCGTGCTTCGGTGGCCCGTTCCTCGTGCGCCACGCGACGTTCTACGGCGAGCAGCTGGCGAAGAAGATGGAGCAGTACAACAGCCGCGTGTGGCTGCTGAACACCGGCTACGCCGGCGGCCGCGCGGACCGCGGGGCGAAGCGCATGCCGCTGCGCGTGACGCGTGCGATCATCGACGCGATCCACGACGGCTCGCTGGACCAGGCGGACTACGAGGTGTACCCCGGCTGGGGCCTGCACATCCCCAAGCACGTCGCCAGCGTGTCGTCGCACCTCCTTGACCCACGCAAGGCGTGGAAGGACGTGCACCAGTTCAACTCGACCACGAAGGAGCTGGTGGAGATGTTCCAGCAGAGCTTCAACGCACGCTTCGCCGCGAAGGCGTCGGCGGAGATGAGGAGCGCCGTTCCCCGCTACGTCGAGGTGGCCCGCCTATGAAACCTAACCGCCAGCGAATACGCACTGGGGTGCGACAAGCGGCAGCGGCGACGATCGTGACTTGCCGCTTGTGATAAGTGTGTTCGTTGATGTAGGGGCTAAATTTCGGGGGTAAAGAGAAATAGGGGTGGCATCAAAAGATCGGCGTCCCAGCGCAGGGAAAAGTGGATTTTCGGGTTGCCAAGCGATTCGAATGTAATGGTGTGATATGGAAAACTCTTCTACTTGGTGTGGCCCGTGCGAGCGTCGCAGGGCTGCGGTTTGTGTGGCTCTGTGTGTGTATGTGCGTAAGCGTCTCTGCTCCGAGAGTCCCCTTCCCTCTCTTCTCTCGTCTCCTGCGCCGGTGGAGATCCAAGCTATTTCGACATACAAGCCAACCAAGTAAAAAGCCTAACTAACCTGATATTAAGGAACGATGGCGCCCATCATTCACAAGAACCTGACGTGCCCCGAGCTGGTGCAGTGGGCACTGAAGCTTGAGAAGGACACGCGTCTGACGGCGCGCGGCGCGCTCTCGGTGATGTCGTACGCGAAGACCGGCCGTTCACCACTCGACAAGCGCATTGTGGACACCGAGGACGTGCACGGCAACGTTGACTGGGGCAAGGTGAACATGAAGCTCTCTGAGGAGTCGTTCGCGAAGGTGAAGAAGCTGGCGACGGACTTCCTGGACACACGCCAGCACCTGTTCGTGATTGACTGCTTCGCCGGGCACGACGAGCGCTACCGGCTGAAGGTGCGCGTGATCACGACGCGCCCGTACCACGCGCTGTTCATGCGCGACATGCTGATCGTGCCCACGCCGGCGGAGCTGGCGACGTTCGGCGAGCCGGACTACGTCATCTACAACGCCGGCGAGTCGAAGGCGGACCCGTCGATCCCCGGCGTGACGTCGACGACGTGCGTT